GGCCAATGGCCCAAAACAAACAGAAAACACTTCACTCTCTACGAGGAAAAACTCATTCCGCCATGAATACATAAAAAAAAGTCGCACTAAACAAAAAGAAAACTATGTAGTTCCATTTAATTATATTTCAACCCCCCAATATGTAGAAAGGGAATAATACAATTTTATAAAGAATATCCACAATTGTATTTCACTTAACGCTATCGTGAGAAAGTCAACTTTCGTAGTAAAAATTAATGGAGCAATGATATATTATATTTATATATTACAAATGAACTGTTTCAAATAGTTCCCATGGAATACATACCAAACGCCCTTTTAATAACAAGGGTAAAAACCAGATTTCTTGTTAACGGCATCATAATTATACCATTAATGAGCTAATTACACGACAGATAAAAAGATTAAACTAAAATATAACATCCTACACGAGTTATATACATCATTTTGACCTTTTTAAAATAACAATAGGAAAAAGAAAAAAAGGCGTATATAAATAAAGCTGCATCTTAAAGCATCATACAGGTATGGTATGCATTGATGCGAGGCCAAGATAAGCACAGCAATTGGTAGCACGCAAAATCATAACTTACAAAGAATGTGAGCTTGGTCATACATACAGTTTTGTGCTTTGTTACTTTCGATGTTGAGCTTCCGGTAAGCACTTTAGTTGTGAAATATGCGTTCTAAGGCTACACTCTCTAACCTGCACGCGTAAATATTTTGTCAATAAGCTTGCAGCCATACATTTGAGTTCAATGAAAATCAGAAAAATATTTAGCTTCACTATTTACCTGCATGGTTGTTACCATTGATAAAAGGTGTCTGCACTCATCAAGCAAAACATGCTCCTTTGTAATCAAGTTGGCAACTTCGACCACCAAAGAATTTAAGTATCCAACCTATCAATTGTAAATGCTTTTCAGACATTTTAGCACGTCAATGGAACCTTACTTAAAGGCACCAGGCATCACCGTTCGACTTTAACATGATAATGCATGGCCTCGGATTTAGAAACTAAGACTAATCCTAACTATTTGCACGAGTCAAAAAAATAAACTCTGTAACTCACAAGTCACTCCGAAATGTATTTATTTTTAAAGAAATCGTAGTTATTTTTAAATAGAGTAACGATAGATGACACAGTTTTACATTCATTTTTAAATAATGCAGAAACAGGGTTGCACAGTCAAACAAACAAGAACCTGTCGCTGTGTAGAATGGCGGGGTATGTAAAGTGGACATAAGTGTGTAATAAATTCAATTTAGAGAATGGAGGGAAAGAAAGGTGGTGGCATTAAGTCAACAAATAATCATAGAAATGCATAAACAAAAAAACAATCAAGAGAACACTTGATGGAAGGAAATAAAGGTGGTACATCAAGTCAACAAATAATAATAAAAATGCATAAACAAAAGAATGATCAGAGGAAAACTTGAGGGAAGGAAATAAAGGTTTTAACATCGAGTCAACAAATAATAATAAAAATGTATAAATTACAAAGTTTTTAAATTTATCAAAATGGATAAAGTTTTCATAATTTATCCAGTAAATTACAATAAAAATAGTATTTTAATACATGATTTTAGTTAATTAAGTTATTCCTGTAAATATGATTTTAATTTTTTTAATGAGAATCTGTATAGAAGAATAGTATTTTAAATTAAACTTGTGTTTGCAAATGGAATTCAATAAATATAAATATAATTTTAGTTCAATAAAAAAGAAAACAAATTATAAACATATATTAAAACATAAGTTTTATTATGAAGTAATTTCAAGTAGGACTTATTTATATCAATAATTTTATTTTATTTATCCATTTCAATGAATTACAGAAACTTCAGTAAATTTTCCAAAGCCTGTATATACACTCCTCATTGGTCGCAGTTTAAGCTTATGCACTCAACCCATCTTTGTTCATCATACAACAAATGACATTAGGTAACAATTTGAACAATTTTCCCAGAAATTGGTTCCCCGCTTGTGTTAGTTATTACAAGCAAGGGAAATTGTCTTTGCAATGCTAGACTCATGGCTTATCGTTTTCTTCTGAAATANAATGCATAAACAAAAGAATGATCAGAGGAAAACTTGAGGGAAGGAAATAAAGGTTTTAACATCGAGTCAACAAATAATAATAAAAATGTATAAATTACAAAGTTTTTAAATTTATCAAAATGGATAAAGTTTTCATAATTTATCCAGTAAATTGCAATAAAAATAGTATTTTAATACATGATTTTAGTTAATTAAGTTATTCCTGTAAATATGATTTTAATTTTTTTAATGAGAATCTGTATAGAAGAATAGTATTTTAAATTAAACTTGTGTTTGCAAATGGAATTCAATAAATATAAATATAATTTTAGTTCAATAAAAAAGAAAACAAATTATAAACATATATTAAAACATAAGTTTTATTATGAAGTAATTTCAAGTAGGACTTATTTATATCAATAATTTTATTTTATTTATCCATTTCAATGAATTACAGAAACTTCAGTAAATTTTCCAAAGCCTGTATATACACTCCTCATTGGTCGCAGTTTAAGCTTATGCACTCAACCCATCTTTGTTCATCATACAACAAATGACATTAGGTAACAATTTGAACAATTTTCCCAGAAATTGGTTCCCCGCTTGTGTTAGTTATTACAAGCAAGGGAAATTGTCTTTGCAATGCTAGACTCATGGCTTATCGTTTTCTTCTGAAATACATATTTTAAGCATCCGACTAATTTAGGTCACACCGGGTATTATCACCAACAAAGCTTATTCTTAATTTTTTTAATGTCACTGCATTTCCAAGGTTGAATTTGAAACCTTTCAGACTTGAAGTGTTTTAAGTAAAACAAGCAAAGTTACTTGACTACAATAACATAATAGGAAATTCAGGATCCAGAGACCAGGTGATCCAAGAAAAACTAATTTATTAACAAATAGAAAATCAAACAAAAATTATGTTCACCCAGAAATTCAAATAATAATTAATATATAAAATCCTTATCTATGGTAAAAAGAATATGCACCTTCGGTAACAAAAAGCATACGGAGGATCCCATGGCCTTCATTATATCCACAGCTGAACAAACAGCATCCTTCACTTTATGTACATCTGCCTGACAGAAGATTTTTATATTATTCCCAAAACATGCTAATGCAGTGATATCAACTGAATCATTATGACACTACCTATCATCGAAGGAAAAGACGAATGAATAAAAAGCAAAAAGTAAATACCTTGGCCCCATCAACAACAGGGAGCCGGAGAGTGCTGGCCTTTAATGCTTCAATAGCTCCGGCAAGTGAACTTATGTAAACTTGATCCAAAATAGCCCAATCTTCCAAATAAACCATCTACAGTGAAAGTTTACTTTAGAATTTGGGATATGAAAGTTCATGTTGAAGAGAATAAAATTAAAATCTTATCAAGCTAAAAATATACTAACAATTCACAGGCTAACGAAGATCTTACTTGCTTTTTGAGAATGAAAACCAGCTTCAATTTATGCTTCAGCAATTGTAGCTCTCTCCTTTTGGAACTCACAGATTCTCGTAGTTTAGTGGTAGATGCCCAAGCATCATAGAGACAATTCTAATAAAAGAAAAATAAAATTAGCAGTCAATTTTACATGTACATCCATAACAAATCACAAGCATGATTTTATCACTGACTAAGATAGCTCATGCCAAATGTTCAAGATGTACTAATGTAACTCTGGTGAGCTTCTACAAGGTTGTGACCTGGACTAATCATTCTTAGTTAATGCTACTGTTCTCTAATTATAACTTGCTCCAGAGTCCTGAAACTCAGATAAAAAATCAAGCAACTCTAGCGAGCTTCTAAAATGCATTGAATTCAACAAAAGAACTGGTCAACTTCTACATGACCTGCACTGATCTTGCCTATTTTACCATTGCACCCTAAATGTCAGCCTCTTAGTCCTATATCTCAATTTAAACTTAAGAAACTCCAGTGAACTTCTACAGAGATTACTTACTCTAATCTATCTAAGCCAAACTCGTTGAGAAGGAAGGAAGCTATACTTATATATTCACTTATAGAAATCATATAAAAAGTATATAATAATAAACTGCAAGTATCATTCCGTAGAAATAAAACCATACCTCAGCATTGGATTTCCGTGCAGAGAGATCAGAATCTGCTCTGGCGTTGACAAAACGCCACTGCAAGAGGCGGTTATGGAGAAGCCTCAGCGAATGCGCCTCCACAATTCGGTTCTCTCCCACCCTCCCTCTCTTAACATCAACGGCAAAACTCAAAACAGAAGGCTCGTTACAGGACGCTCCGTTTCCGAGCCTCAGGGGGCTCACACCTCTGGAAGAAGAAGAAGAGGCTGGCACTGCATTAGAAACCTTGTTCGGTGAAGCAGGACGAATAAAAGAAACCTGGCCCCTGCTATTTATAACTCCTCGCGGAGACGATGCGCCGTCCAACGGCGATTTTCTCGGCGCGACGAGTTTGGGAGAGGAAACGACGTTGGTTGTCGGTTTGGCTTTGTTGACGGTGATCCAGAACGACTCCCCCTGAAACGACACGGATAGGCTTCTTGTTATCGCGGAAGCTGGAAGTATTTTGGCAGAAGACGACGTCGTGCGGGTGGCGCCACTAGTGCCGGGTCGTCTTCGCTCCACCGACTGTGATCGTTTGGGCGTGAACGGCGACGGCGACCGAGGAGACGAGGACGATGAGGTGTAACGAGGCGCGAGTTTTTTGGGCGTGGAGATTGCAGCTTCTACCATTGTTGTCCGGATAGTGTCATGAACGAGTTTCTGAATTGGGCTACGGGAAAAGCAAAGAACAAAAAGAGTGAATTGAAAATGAAGAAAATGCTAAATGGGAAGGATGTTTTGAGCGTTACGGTGGAATGCGGAAACCCAGGTTTTTGAGTGTAACCGTCGCATTATAAGTAATAAAAAAAGGTGAACGAGGCTTATGAGTATGATTTTGTTAGTTAAATGCATATTAATCTGGGAGTGTGGATTGACTGAGTTGTGGTGGGTCCTGGAACACAGTAGTTAATTTGGTTAATTGGTACAATGGGACATTGGCTTCTGCATATCTCATTAATCATGTGTCGAGGTTGGACAAGGACAAGATAATATGATTAAAGCCACTTTCACCTCCCAACTGACAAACCCATGCTTTTCCAACTGACGCCAACTTCTTCCTTACCTACATATTTTCTGATTTATCTATCTCACCCAACACTTGTATATGAACGAGAAGGATTTCTGAAGATAACTGAAGATCTTTTCTCTGTAAGTTAAAGTGAACTTGAAAAAATATACATTATTCATTCACAGACGAAAGCAATTAGAACAAAAATAAGTTTACCCCAAACAAATCCACTCCAAGAGACGAAGCACTTACTCAATTGGTGAAGTGACTTAGTGAAAGGTTGAGCGTATAAAAAGAAAAGGATGGTAACAGAGAAGGGAAAGAAAGAATGCAAGTGGGATGTTGGTTAAGATGGAGGACCACTTATGATTAACTTGATGACTCGTTAAAACCAAACATCTCTTACCAAATTACTGCTAAAACCATCTTCGCTTAAGAATCACTTAAAACAATAATTTGAGTTTCTTAGCAGACAGTGTTTGCGAACACAAGCACGGTGCTTCACATTGTAATGGCCGTCCAGAATGATGGCTGGCTAGGTCCCATTGAATTGGATAATTGAGACTGTGTGAGTTGGGAGCTTGGGATTAATGGTGAAGAAAAGAAAAGCAAGACCTATCAAAATCCTAACAGATGGAAATGGGTTTGGAAATGAGAACCAATAATTTAAGTTAAAATTAATTTACGTATGAGTTGAAATAAATATTTACAAACTATATGAGAATTTCCATAAATTAATTTTAGCTTATAAAAATCATTTCAATCATTTTTTATTTCGAAGTAAATGATGGAGAAGTTAGTACGACTAACGGTACTAAGGAAACGAAAATAAGACTAAAAATTAAAATTAGTTTATATACTAACAAACTAAAATTCCTTTCTTTTTTTTAACTTCTTAAGTTTTTAATTTGTTGTTGTAGATCCATTTTATCTGTTGTTGTGTTTGTTGTATGAATGCTGTCTGTGATGTTGTTGACGATGAACGATTGTGAGATTTTCCATCTTTTGGCCTCCACCCTATGTTTGGTGCCGGACCCGTTCTTGTGGTATTACCTTAAAGTCGCGATGCCATTCCTTCCCATAGTTGTGTGTCCCGAGGTGAAGGCGGACCAGGGGATGGAGGGGAAGAAGAAGGAGGTGGGGGGAAAGGGCGCAGGGCAAGGAAAAAAAGAAGCGGAAGAAATAATAAGATAGAAAGTCGAGAATGGATCGTCTATGATCGATATAACAGATAAAAACCAAATGTCCTCGATATAAAGCGAAACAAAAGTGAAAGATGAATGACTCCATTCAGAAGGTGCAGAGGAAAGGAACGAAAAAAGGAGAAACGTCAAGAGAAAACGTGAAAGTATATAAATCATTTTTGTCTGTTAGAAATGGGGGGGGGTAACTTTTTTTTTTTTGGGGGACAAATTTTAGGCAAGTGTGGGGAATATATAGAGAGGAAGGGGATGACATTGACAAAGGAGTAATCTGGGAGATGCACAAAATAAACTGATTGGATGAAAATGGACATTAAATCAATGAGGACACGAAATTGGGATAAATTTTGGATTTCAAAATTCATTCAAATCCTTTAAAAAAACAACAATCAATTTATTATTAAATCTTCTCACATTCATCCATTTAGTCTTTTGAAAATGGAAAATGACACTTGAACAACCATTTTTGACAACATTTAGACACGCGCACACGTGTCAAAATCTGAGTGGTCCATTTTCATTTAATTTTTCCAACTAGACCACTCAGGATTTTGACACGTAGTGCGCGTGTCTAATGTTGTCAAAAAATGGTTGTCAAGTATTCATTTTTCCTTTGAAAATCTATCTTTCAAAAACGAATAATTCAAACTAACGAAGCCGTAGAGAAGTTGATTCTTTTATATAAAAGCTTTTTGAAAAAGTTGATCCAACCAAACCATTGTGATTTGATTGTTGATGTTATGATGATATAAGCTTCACATACAAGTATCGTTAAAACAATGATTTCGTTAAAATGAAGTTGTTTTCATTTCCTGCAAAGCGAGTTTAAATGAGGAAGATATGTTAATAGTTGAAAAGTATCATACGTTGACAAGTTTTAATATTATATTATGGTTATGTTACTTCAACTCTCAATTAGTTAACTAATTTATAAACTAGTTTGATTAATACGAAAACATTTATTTGTATTAAATTATTTAAAAAAAGTTTATAATTTAGAAGTTATAAATTACTTTAATTTGTTTAGAGTTTTTAACTAATTTACTTGTTTTCATTATTATAATAATGAGAAATATTTTTCACATTTAAAATATAAGAAGTAATTAGTCTTTATATTTCGAAATATTTTTTCATTATTTTTATTTTTATTGTATCTATTTTTATTTATTTTAATTTTATAAAAATGATTAATTATTACCCTTTTTTAAATACTTGTTAGAACTTTAATTTTTTTATAATTGAAATTAAAATAAATTAATATTATAAATAGAAGTAACTCATATTTCATTACATTACGTGATTTTATAAATATGTCAAAGTTTATATACAATTGAAAATAATAAAAGAACCAATGGAAGGTTGACAGTGAACTTAGCAAAACAGGTGTAAACAGTAGAAATCATAGCTGGACCCTTTATCCAAAAGGTATTGCAATGAATGGAGCGTTTATTTATCAAATTTTAGGATCTAATACAGAGGAAAGATCTGCCTTATTTTTGTTAATTGAATTAAAATTGTTATGAATAATTATTTTTTTGTTGATTAGTTCTTTTATATTAATTGTTTTAAATAAACTTTTGAATTGTTTCCAATATTGTATTACATTTGTAACCGTAAGTTGGAGACTTCTCTTTGATCAAAACGCACAAGAAACACAGTTTAATTTCTTCTCTTTAATTCTCTCTTATATACTGTATATTTTAAGTTTATATTTCTATAATATTTTGTAGTGCCTTTAGTTTATTAATTTTCATTGTAAATTTAACATTTAAACAATGATGTTACTTATTATATATTCAATATATGTTGTATTACATAAAGAGTTACATCTCTTAGAATTTACATGAAGAGTTACTTATTTATATATTCAAAGTATCATTATCCATAAAATAAGGTTAAAAGTGAGTCATGAAACAACTCCATATAACAGGAGGAAGAAGGTGAAAAGAGAAAAATAAAATTAAAAATATAAAAAATAGAAATATATTAATACATGTTCATTAAATAGTTAAATATCAATTTAACACTCTCTCTTAACACTAATTATATAAGTCTAACAAAAATTATCAAATTGAATCGATTTTGATTAAAAAAAGCAAATATTGAAAAAAAATGAATCAAAATCTGATATAATTAAACTTATTAAAATTTCATTATAAATGATAATCTAATTCAACTTATAAGTAAATAAATATAATAAAATTATATTAATTATTAAATAGAATTAATGTTTGATATAATAGTATTAGATTAGCTCATTAATTTTTTTATGTTTTCTAAATTTGTATCAAATATATTGTGCCTTGAAAAAAAGGAAATATCATGTCAACCTTTTTTTTAAGAAAAAATATGTGTGACAAGTTAATTATACTCTGTAGGAATATTCACAAACAGTTTTGAATTTGTACAAATTCCAGATCAATACAATAAGACAAAGACCAAAATCAAAGAGCAGAGAAGGGTATCGACACAAAATAGCTTTTGATTGAAACTTAGACTACACCTATAAATGAAACATATATATAATAAGATAAGTTCTCCTTCTTACATTAATATTGAGAATATTATTTCAACTTTGGAGTCCTAAGTAAGGAGAGGCTCTTAGTTTTCATAAAGAATGACAGAAAAATGTCCTGTTGTAAATTAAATAAATGTCGAACATTCCTTCTTTATCTATTTATAACTTTTATTGTATTATGTCGACAACTTGTGTGAAACAAATATTTCATATTGATCTAATATTTATATTTTGACCAAAGACTTTCAAGAAGGTCGAAATATTAGTTATCACTGTTTAGACTATGTCTAAGGTGATCAGACACCCACCACATATCACAACTTTATTATAATTCTCAAAAATTGGAATTAAATTTCATTAAAAAAGTTAAAGTATGATATAAATAAATCCTTTTGAATCAAATAATTTATCCAGAAACAAATGATATATCTAATGGAACATTAAGCTTAATGGATAACATTGAAGAGTGGGTAGGTGGAGTGGAGCCAACAACCACAATAATGCATGATGCATCAGCTAAAAAGTATCTTTACATTTATATAAAATGCAGAATTGTGAGGCGATGGTGGAATAAATTCTGAAAATATTGAATAGTATATAGCAGTAACCTAAGCTCTAAGTGCTTCTTCCACTATATCAACAAATCTCAGTGGGTTTTCTTGGTACAAATCAAGCATCTAGTATCTCACATACTTGTGCATAAAAAATAATAAAAGACAAAATATTTTTTTTTTAAAATTGTTAAAGGAAACTGATTTTAATTAATAAAAAATATTCAATACATATTTAATAAAAAAAATAAGTGGAAAAGCTTTTCTTTTGAGAATATAATTTAATTACTGGCATTTCGTTTGTTATCTTTGATGACAATTTAAAATGAAATATTTTTAAAAAAATTTAATTAATAGAAATAATGTCAATTTAGTGTAAAAATTCATAAAATTATGTACAAAATAATAATGATAACATTCACTCTTATTCCTTATAAAATTTTAATTGCGGTTTAGTTTAATATTCAGTTTTTTTTTTAATAAAGCACTTTTGATTTTTTTATATGTCTTATAATTA